CTTTTCAAGTTCAGTAAATACGGAACGGAAGACGGAAACTCTGATGGATATGTGTGTCGCTAAGATGCTTTCCATTGGATGCTGCTGTAGTGTACAAAGGATGCCTGTGATTGACGGCTGCATTGTGTTGTAGAGAGTGTGGGGGTCAGGAGCAGCTGACCAGCCGACAGCCTGATGGGACAGCTCCTCCAGCCGCCTCTCTCTTGACTTTAGGTTACCTACAAGCTTCTTATCATTCATCCTCTTTGAGCAAATGTGGACCAATGTGGCTTACTAGGGCAAGATATTGTGTGAGTATTTGCATGATTGTGTCACAGGCAGTCTATATTTTGAGTATACACGTATCTGCTTTGTTCTGTATCCATTTATCATCCTGACAAACGGAGAGTCAGTCAGCTTCACAGAACATCAGTGCATGCTGTTGCTGCCGCTATACAGCAAGATGTGACTTGTAAAAAGATCCTGATTTATAAAATAGGTCTGCCATTAATTAAGTTTTAACATACTCTACTCCCCCAGAGAGGACAGAGATGTAGACATGGTACTTGTCTCTCTGTCACTCCCTCTTCCTCTCCTTGCTCATAGAACTGAAGTTATATCTAATCACTACTACAATAGTACTAATGCAAAGACAATGCAGCTTGTTTCAAAAAGGGCATCCCCTAATTTGCTATCGTATCCCATATATATAACACACACTGAGAACAGATTTTTAAATGTTCTAAGGAGGTTTATCCCTGTCTTCACTGCAGTTGTTGTTTTCATTTCGCCACATTTGATAGTTTTCAAGCATATAGTGCCCGTTTAAGATCCTGCCCCTGCATCTCAATTGAAGTTAAAATTCATGTTTTTGTTTTGGAGCAATTTAACCCTAACCCTAACCCAGTTGATAAGAAAAAAGCCCAATGACTTATTTACATAACAAGCTTGAAATACACCCTTCCTATTTCTCCTTATTATAATCAATCTGAGGCTTCTGCTTTAAGGGATGAGCTGCCAACACTCACAAGCATCATTTACCTACATTTGATAGATTTTGCTAACTTATAACTGAACTTATGAGGCAATATACCTCCTAGGGAGTGGCCCAGCCCTTCGTATGTTTTTCTGTATGTGGCCCTCGGTGAAAAAAAAAAAGTTTGGACACCCCTGGTCTAAAGGATGTGTGGTTTTCTCCTTAATAGATGCTTGTCATCAGGTGTGGACCTGCTGGAGGTGCCAGTGGTACGGCTGGAAGTTTAGCTGTCATTTCTGACTGAATGTATGTTTTAATCCAGACCATGTTTCCCTACATATTCACATATCGCACGTCACCTTGAGGTGTTCTGTTGGAGTAGCAGATTGGGGGAAGTGGAGGGAGACGTCTGACTGAAGGGAAAGATTGCACCAGTAATTGACTTTATTGGCTCAAATATGACCATAAGAACCAGCTGATCAGTCCCTGTCAACTGATCAGCCTCACTCTCAATGAAGAATGAATGGGAAAAAACTGCGGTTAAACTTTACCGATACAACAAACCCTGGGTCCTCCCTGAACTAAAAAAAACTGCCTAATAAAAAGAGCTCTAGAGAAAATAATAAAGTAACAGAGTGCTACGCTTTCTCTAAAGTTAAAATGTAGTCAAATTCTGTCAGGGAATAGAATACAGATTATACCAGGTCATAAACAGACAACACCATTAGCTAACTTGTTAACTTTGGCAAGAGACATGAGTCCCAGCGTTGGCTTGCAGTGTTAATGGTACAGATAACTACTACACACCTATATTTATCTGTAAATAGTAAATAGTATTATGGCAGCTGGCTAAAGCTAACGTTAGCTCTGTGTTGTTTGTTGGATTGAATGCATGTGGAGCTTCAGTCTCTACTTACAACTGTTTGCAGTATACAGATGTTTCTAAAGGCTGACAACTCATCATGTAGGGTGTTGAGCAGTGGCGTCGCCTGGCCTAAAGCCCCGAATGTTTTTTCTGTAGCCCCGGACAATTCTCCCTCAATAATATAATACATTAACCATGCTTTACCTGAACCTCATCATGACACTAGAGAGGATGGCAGGATTGTAATTTCCCGTGTTCAGTGAATGCAACAGAGGCAAGACACCAGACCAATCAGAGAGTTACATGGAAATACAGTACAAGTACTTCTGGGTCTCTGTGTTTCATTCAAGCTCTGTGTGTGTGTGGCAATAGCGCATTTAGTGTGATTGAGCGAGCGAGAGAAAGAGAGAGAGAGAGAGAGCGCACCGGTGCCAGCAGGGACCATGGGGCACCAGGGGCAGGGACCGTGTTGTTAGCATCTGGTTAGCTAGCTGCACTAACGGACATAAGGAGCTGTTTGTTCCACAAGAAGCTGGAGGAGAGTCCTCTCCTCTCAGACTGAGAGACTCAGGTGAGCTAAAGGACTCTCTGAGTGTTTAGATAGTTAACTTTAGTCTAAGTTATCTCAGTGGGTCTCAAACGGTTTGGTCACGAATTATGTATAAGATTATTTCTGCGGCACACCTTCATATGATCATTATAGTTATAAAAAAATAAGAGAATAAATGAAAAACAGTTATGAATTACATTACATGTTACTTGTAATGTAAAGCGACTTACATACTGAATACTGTGGGCAATCCGCACAGGAGCAATTTGGAGTGAAGTGTCTTGCCCAGGGACAGAACGACATGCTGACTGCAGTGGGTTTTGAACCTGTGACCCCCTGATCCGAACACCAAGGCTCTATCCACTGCGCCACACACCTATATGGCAGTAAAACAAGAATACAGTTTAAAAGGAGTGATTTGTAAAATATCCATAAAGAAAAAGTAAATCTGTTTACAGTTCTGCTTCATATGGGTGTTGAGAGAGGTATCCATAGATCTCTTAATTTTGCTCTCAAAGTGCACCAGATTGATGCTTTTAACTTCAATATTTAAAAAAAAATGTTCCCGGGGGAGCATGCCCCCGGTCCCCTCTAGAGGAGGTGAGGACCCCCCTAGATGATGTTAGGTCCACCCAGGGCTGCCTTAATGCACGGGCTGACCTGGGCTGAAGCCCAGGGGCCTACGGAGATCGAAGGCCTATCATGAGCCAAAAAAAAAAAAATATTCAATTTTATTTTAATTTTATTTCGGGAGATTTTTAAAAAATTTTAAATAAAGTCTTGGCTTTCAGAATATGAAACTTTTACTTCCAAAATCACACGATAAATACATTTTTGAAGCTTGTAAAGGTAAGAAGACCGCTCTCCCTCGCCACTCTGCTGTTCCTAAGCGCTAATGATAAATACAACTATGAAGCTTGTAACGGTATAATTACAAGCGGAGAACGGAGTAACTTGACGTCACAGCAGGCATAACAACAGCCGGTGTTTCTCGTGAGTGTTTCCCCGGGAAACAAACACAATCGCAAAAATACACAAACACACACACGTATACACACACACACACACACACTCGTGAGCTTCCCCAGACCAGTAATCCAAACGAAAATATCTTCCCTCCATACTATTTTGATCATTTGCTCCGCTAATAATCAATCAGATCGATGGATTCCAGAGATTTTTCTCAAAAATGATGACTCCGTGAGTCCGTAACAGTCAGTGGGCACCACTTAACAGCCAATCAGAATGAGAATATGTTTAACATGTGACTTATTCAAATTGCGAGTGATTGAGTGACAGATGAAGGTTGTTTAGGAGAAAATGTCGGAGAAGAAAAAGTTTGAGAGTGGCGCTCGGAAAAGGAAATTGTTGAGGGAAAAGGAGTTTCGAGACAAGCAGCTATTACAAAAAATGCCGAAGCTTCCAGGTTATTTTAAACCTGTAGGCCAGGATGAGGAGGAAGGACAGATGAGTTCTGTACCGAGCGGCAGCGGTGCCGGCCGCGGGGCCTCGGAGCCAAGTAGGCCGTCTGGTTCTGATAGCGATGGAGTAGCGGGAGAGGAAAAACAGACAGGAGGGACATTATCTGTTGGAGGAGATGGAGAGGACGACGAGGACTTGCTACGTGGAGGGGAGCCAACGGCAACCGGACAAATACATGAGGGAGGCCCGATACGTCACTCATCTGGAGTATAGAGGACCAGGCACGCGTAGAGCAGAGTGGAGAAGTGCGATCACAGAGCCTGCCGAGGCTATAAATGACTTTGATTTGTTGTTTAAATAGGGGGCCTACAAAATCTATCAGCCCCAGGGCCTGATGGCAGGTTAAGGCGGGCTTGGGTCCACCCACTTTACCTCTGCTTACACCTATATGCTGTGAGCTGATTATCGAGCGGGTGTACTGTGTGTGTGCGTGTGGGGAGTGTTGCATTAGAACATTTCACTGTAGCCCGGTACCTTAATGGGAAACCCTACATGTTTGAGCACCCTCTATGAAACGTTAAGCTACCCCACAGCACCCCCAAAACAAAATCTCTGGCGCCGGCACTGTGGGCTAAGCCCTGAATGTTTCCAGGTCCAGGAAACGCCCCTGGTGTTGAGGAATAGGAGGGGACTTCCTAAAGCAGTCTTTACATTTCCTTAAGGTTAATGTGACTAAAGGGTCAGGGCTAGGGTCATTTAGAGTTCTTCAGGAGGAACGTAAACGACAGCATAATAACATCACATAACATCTTAACATTAAAAATGAAACATCAACTTTTACTATGTCAGCATTTTATTTTTTCTTCCACTTATTCCCCTCCCCTCAGCCCTTAGTTTCAACAGCATTCATCCCACTTTGAGAGCAGAGGGAAAGAGGACGGTGGGGCATTTTAAATGATTGCACATGCTATAGTACTGTCTTTCAGCTTGAAATGTCATGGAATGGATCGCTTGCCTTTTTATGAGACCCTTTTTATAAGAAAGTTTGGTGAAATCCTTTTAATGTTAACTCCTTAAACCATCTAGCTGATATTAATATTAACTGGTAATAGTTGTTTAAGGTTTTTTCCGTTCAAATATTCCTTGTGTATTTCAGTTCATTCTGTCTGTTCTGGTTCTGTTGGTGGCCCTTAACTTCTTCCCAACAGAAACTGGATGAATCTTAGAGATGCAGAGACGGGCAAAGTGCTGTGGCAGGGAACGGAGGACCTCTCGGTACCGGGGGTAGAACATGAAGGTACAGTACACACGCCTACCACATATTAATCACATTCATACAGCACACAGCACAAGCTCTTTGTAAGCCAGGTAAGCTGTGAGACATCATGTGACTTGGTCTAAAAATAAGAATGAAATAATAAATATAATATTCAAATAATACAAATAGATATATGTAAAATGTACCGATCAGAACAACTGAAAGGCAAATTAAACAATAAGATTATGTATGAAATCAATAATAAATATGCATGAAGTATGAACAGGGGACAATATGCCACACAGACAGATGATGTACTGAGCTCATGCACATTTATTAGTTTTAGATAGCCGGGTTGAACTAGATTCACCCGTTTGACCTATTTCCAACATCATTATACGAGTCAAGAAGAGTCAAAAGTAATTCATGGCAATATTTTTTTTCACATGCGATGGCTACTTTTATTTTATTAAGGAAGAAAAGTATTCACATTGAGTTCAAATTAACCCTTTTTTTACTGGAAAAACAATTCTGAACATGCAGATTCATTATTTAAAAAAAGGCTTTTTTATATCCTATCATGAATTATCTGGACAATCCTTCTTGATATTATCGTACTGTGAATTAATCATTATAATCCTAGCCATTCAATACAGTCGCTACATTCTTACTATTACTGAAGGAATACATAGAATAACTATAAACATTAGACTCTTTTTGGATATAAAAGGTTTATATTGTAAATAACAATGATGTGTAGTATTATTGATGCAAATGTATTTTACCAGTATAACTTCGATATTATGTGATCCAGCTCAGAAATCTCAGCTTTGTTCAATGTATAGGGACACCTTTTTGATAATAAACAAAAAAATCATGATGTAAAGAACAATGCTCCCAAATCAGCTATAACAAGAGGCGCTTTCACACCGGAGTACTTTTCCCCGTACTTTTCCCCGTTTAGTTCCGTTAGTGCCTGGAATTTTGCGTTCACACCAGCCGCGGCGTTATGGGTGGGCCTACTGGGCCTAGGCCCACCCACTCTGGCACTGGGCCCACCCATTCATTGATAAAAAAATGACTGGGCGAAAATATAGTTTCCAACATTTTTGATCAAAATTAACAATTAAATAATAAAATTAAAAGCAACATTAATTAATGTAATCAGGCCGAACTCATAGTCGAAGCGCAGGAGCAAACACATCGTAGAACGTCTCGCGGCCGCGCGCAGACGAAGGAGGACAGTGGACTGGACAGACACAAAAAATATACCGCGCTCACTAACGATGTCACAACAATCGATGTTCAGGTTTTTTAAAAGAGTAAGAACAAAGTCGGCGCCGCCGGAACCACCACACTCATCCTCACAGCAGGTGACGCCTCAGAGAGACGAGAGTGTGTTTAATGTTGTGCCCCGCTGAGCTCAGTCCCTCTGCGGGACGTAGCACCCGTTGCAGGATAACAGAAAATAGCATCCCAGTGCCGGACCTATCAGCCATAGATGACCCGGCGGCTACACAGCCAAAGCTCATAAAGTAGGCTACCCTCAGACACTTTTCGGACAAAAGAAAAGGAGCTTCGCTGCCCACTGGAATAACAAGTACACATTCTTGGAGTATAGCATTAGCAAGGACAGTGTGTTTTGTAAAATGTGCCGGCGAGAGGCGGGGCCGGCGGAGAAGATACATTCAGTCGCCATGGTTACAGGGACTGGAAACATATCGACTATGCTCTCAGTAAACACGAATGTCATTCTAGGCATAGCCTATTTTTATTAGATTATTAACAAAAATCGTGAGAAAACATTTGAACAGGCCCAGCCGAAATTACATTGAAATCCTGGCGCCGTGGCTGGTTCACACCAAAAAGAGAACTTAGTTCAGAGAACCTTTACCCCCATTTTTAGTGCCTGCTAGAGAGGTGGGACTATCCTGGGGAGAAAAAAGTACCAATTTCTGATTGGCTGGGCGAATTGCCAACCACGCCCCCTAAAACTCTGAAAAGTTTTTTGAAGCCGCCATTGTATTTACTGGCATTAGCATTATTAGCATTAGCATCATTAACATTAGCCCCGCGCACCAACGGAGAGAGACTAACTTATGGCAACACAAAAGAAAACATGGGAGCGGTGGAGTGATGAGGAGGTGTCGGCGTTCTGGCGATTTACTTGGAAGGCTTCAGTAGAAGCTGCTGGGAGTCCCAGCAGCGTCTACTGAAGCCAGTCCCCAACTCCGGGGACTTCCGGCCGGGGACTTCGGGTGGCAGTATACGCCGTGAAGTGGTTTGCGGCCTGCCAGTAAACCCAAAGCAGAAGAAGAAGAAGTGACGTCAGCGGCTTCATTTGCGTAATCTTCCCTCAGGGAACTTATTCCGGTGTGAACGCGATCGGCTCTTTAGTTCCATGGGGGAACTAAGTGCGGCAAAGTACTTGGTGTGAAAGCGGCTAAGGTCATTACAAGCCCTCATCTCTAAGTGAGGGGGAGCCTTCAAGTTCAAAGTGCTCTGTTTCTCTGATCTCTGCTTGCTTTCCTGCCTCAGTGAATTCTGATTTCTCCCCCTCTCTGCAGCTCGCGTCCCCAAGAAGATCCTCAAGTGTAAAGCTGTGTCCAGAGAACTGAACTTCTCCTCGTCAGAGAAACTGGAGAAGTTCAGACTGGAGCAGAAAGTGTTCTTCAAAGGACAGTGTCTAGAAGGTAACCTGAGTTATGGACAGTACATTAAAGGTCACCTATTATGCAAAATCCCCTTCTTCATGTCTTTTATACATGAATATGTCTCCCCTCTGTGTTAAGAGATTGGGAAAGGTACAGGATCCATTTATATGAAAACCTGTCTGAATATAAGCCAATCAGATTTTGGCCACTTTGTGATGTCACCATGTTTTTTTGGGTTGTGTAACCATTAGCCAATAACCACCCGCCCACCTTTATCACCTCAATCTCATGAAGTTAAAAAAACAAAACAATCACATCACAGAGAGGCGTGGCCAGCAGCAGCTCATTAGCATTTAAAGCTACAGACACAGAATCAGCACTTTAGGAACAGGGCTGAAACAGAGGGGTTTATGGGATGCTGCAATGATCTGTTTGGTGTTTCAGACAAACACTTCAGAGACATGTTTTGTATATATCTGAGACTTATAATATATTGTTGAAAAAGAGTATAATAGGGGACCTTGTGCCCTGTAGAGTTCTGACCACTGTTGACACTATGAATCCCAATGCTTAACACTATTCCTCTCATCTTGTGTGTCTGTGTTTCGGGATCTGATGACTATTTAAACCCCGACTCATTGGTACCTGTTGCAACAAAATGCACTCTTCCAGCCACAGACAAATTATCTGTATTACATCATCTGCAAGGTCAGAATGCAGGGATGTTAAACTACCTTTCTTGGTGTTGAACAAACTAATGTACCTGTCTTGCACTTAGCCAGATGGTTATTAAAATATAGTCTTTTCCTTCCAACATTTTTTTAATCCATTGATGTGTTTTACCTATTCTTATTTTTCCCTCTTAAGAAGCCCCCTTCCCACCCACATCTCTTTGTGAACACACTGTTTTACTTTAAAATATGCTATGTTCATTCATATTTAGGATCTTTTCAGAGAACTAATCACTGCAGCTCTATCATTGCTGTAACCTGCAGGCTCCCATGCTTTATGCCACACTGGTTACACATCTGAGACCACAAGTGTGAATGGAAATAAAACATGTATTAGTTGCACTACTTGTTTGGCCAATCATTGAAAAAGGAAGTGAGATCTCTGCATGCACAAAACCGAACAACTTTGGTTTCCTTGTAAAACCCATAAGCTGTGGCTCACATGTGCAAACCAGGCGTGGTTTCTTATAGTAAATGGTTAGGCTTTGCATCTGAGATCTTCTGGAATATTAATTTTAGAGTGTTATGTGCACACTGTGTAGTTACGCTGCTGAACGGCATGCTCTAGCATTTCTATGGGGGGGTTCAGGACCCACTGTCGCCTCTTTTTCAACGATGTGGTTCTAGGATTGCGAACCAGTGTTTGGTGTTTTCACTGCAGCAACGCCAGCTCTCTGCAGGAAGTAAAGAAGTGTGGTCAGAGCCACATACGCCTAAAGCTGTTCATGGCAAGTGTAGGAGCCATTTTATAGGTGTTGTTGGTGTCTCAGTTTATCTAATTTATATGTATAATGCAATATTATTTTGAACACTTGGTGGTGGGGTTTAGCTGCACCGGGTGTATAAAGGGGTCACAGGTGACAGGAAATGAGGAGGACACAGGAGGAAGAGCACACCAATTCAACCAGCCCGGCAGATGCTCATACCACAACCCTTTGACACAGTATAAATAAACCTTGGTATGTAAAGCAAAATAAACATCATTCTAAACTGCAGCAAAAGACCGGAGATCATCTGTTTGTGTCTGCGTCTGGATCACTCTAAACCCTCCTGTGAATTAATGGCAAAGGATATAGAACATTGGAACAGTTAAAATTGCCATTACAGCAAGAGTAGAAAGTTGTCGCCGAAATAGGAGCGCCAAGATCGCAAAGCGGCTAAAACACTACTACACACGCGTATATATAAAAATTGTATTTGGCAAAAGAAGAGTATAAAGGTGGAGAAGTCGTGCATGACAAATTACTTTGGCTTCGTACGTTTAATAGTCATGATGAAGCCCATCCAGGGCTCTGGTGGGTGGGAAAGCAAATTGGTTTGCACTTGGTTCGTAAGTTAAACCAACTGCTATCCAAACCAACAGGGAACAGAACTGTGAAAAAAGGGTATGAGAAGTATTTTTGATGATTGGCATTTTAGAAACGGAGGTTTAAAGTGTGCCTCAAATGCTTTCTGCCGGGTCCCTAACATGGGTCCTAAGAAGCAGCAGTTGATTCATAAACCCCAGGTCTGTAGTGTATAGCTCCCTGAGGCCCTGCTGTACAGAGGTGAGCGTACAGAGAGCCCCAGGAGACAAAACACCCCGCGCCCCCCCCCCCCATTCTCAACACAACATGTTTACCATGCTGCCTTTCGAGTCTTTATATATTGGTGCACTAACGTATGGACCTTGTGTTAATATGGAACTCTCTGTGTCTCTGTCTCTGTCCAGAATGGTTCTTTGAGTTCGGCTTTGTTATCCCCAACTCCACCAACACATGGCAGTCTCTGATAGAAGCAGCTCCAGAGTCCCAGATGATGCCAGCCAATGTTTTAACGTGAGTCAGATCCTCTCCATTTACCCTCTACAGCAGCCACACCAGCCCACACACACTGACACACAACATGTGCACATTAACAGTATTCCCATTGTCAATATCTGAAGGATACGGATAATGTACAGCCTTTCAAATAAGCAGGTAATGTAATGTTAGTAATCAGTTACTTTGCAAGTTAATATTATTAGTACAGAAATTAAATTGACTATTGAATTTAGTGTTCTATTATGGATTGAGATACCTTGGAGTAAAAAAGGCATTTTCCTGCTGCAAAAATAAAATGTTGTTCACATTAATGCATCATTAATTAGAAACCAGTGAAATAGGACATAAAATGGCCACTCTGCATAGTGAGTACATTTAGTTCTGATACTTGAGTATATTTTGATGCTAATAAGTATGTGCTTTTACTTAAAGGGGCCCTATTATGCTAATTTTCAGGTTCATATCTGTATTTTGTGTCTCTACTGTGACATGCTTTAAAGGTAGGGTAGGTAAGTTTGAGAAACCGGCTCGAGATACACTTTTTGTTATATTCCATGGAATGCTCTTAACATCCCGATAGCAATGAATATCTTAAGTGCTTTGACAAAAGATCCATAAAAAAATGTCATCTGTGGAAGCCGTAGTACTGTAAAAAGCACGACCAATCATTTTAGCCGGCCCGGCTAAAATAACTGGATGGCCTACCTGCCTGTCAGCCTTCCATCTGTGCACAAACGTATCTCGTGCCCTCATTGGTCATGTGCGCGTTCGTGTGTGTTGGAGGAGGGGCTCTATAAGGAAGTGGCAGATTTTCTCCGGTTGTGTATTTTCAAATTCTAGCGCACTCAAGCCGGTTTCTCCAACTTACCTACCCTACCTTTAATGTTCAAAAAGGTCTTTATTTTTCTCATTGCTCTAATTGGTTAGCTCGCCGGCTGATTGGTCAAGCACTTAGAGATGTGTAGGAAAAGTCAGATAACACACTACAGGAAAGGGAAAACTCCAAAAAGCATAATAGGGACTCTTTATGTAACATTTGGAATGACAGACTTTTACTTAAAGGTCACCTATAATGCAAAATCCACTTTTTCATGTCTTTTCTACATAACCATGTGTCCCCTCTGTGTAAAGAGATTCTGAAAGTTTCAGGAAAAAAGATTCTCTCTCTTTTTGTCCTGATCCATTTATATAAAAACCTGTCTGAAAATGAGCTGATCAGATTTTGGCCACTTTATGATGTCATAACGATGTTTTGGCTTGTGTTACCATTAGCCAATAACCAACCAAGGTTTCAGAGACATGTTTTGTATATATCGGAGACCTATAATATATTGATGAAAAACAGTATAATAGGGGACCTTTAATTAAAACTGTATTTCTTAACTGTGGTATTAAAAAAATTAAATTAAATTAAAAAACGGAACTTGCCCTTGTGGGATGATAAAGTGGCTTCTCCTAATTTGTATTATGCTGACTGGTTATGTCACAGTTCAGTCCTGTCCCACTTCCTGTCTGTAGTGTTGTGCACAGATTTCTTTGTGTGCAAGCTTTTATAAACTGAAAGTTATTTAGATCATTCGCCCGTCAGATTTTATTGAAGGTACATCCTCACTGTGGTGTTATCATAAGAAGCAGGAATGTAAAGTACGTTGGAATCAGCTGAAAGGTTTCTTAAACATTAAATCTTGCAGACACAGTGCTTAAGATATATCGTGCTAAGTGAAATAATCCGTTAATGTTACCGTGTGTCTCTGTTTTCCAGCGGGAACGTGATAATAGAGACTAAGTTCTTCGATGACGACCTCCATGTCAGTACCTCCAAAGTACGGCTTTTCTACGTCTGACCTCCAAACCCCTCACTCTACCTTCCAAAATGCTGACGTCCTGCCAAGGTCTTTAAATTACAAAGGTTAGCTACAATTCGGAGCAGTAAACGTCTCACGGCTGACTTGGGATCATCACTTCTCCCACAGTCAGTGAAGTGTTTGGTTGTTCTCTGTTTTGTGTCCACCTGAAAAGACCTTGGACAGGGGAGAGGAGGAGAGAGCCGTTTCCTCTGTTCCATGATCCACACTGTAAATACATTATCTCCAGTAAGCCAGCGAGCCACTCTGAGATAAAACACCCCCCCCCCAACCCTCACTCTAAGGTTGCATTAACTCAGGAACAGAACATCAGACATGTAACCTGTCTGTTCAAAACTCTGCTCTGCTCTCCATGTGTCTCCTGAGCGTTTCCTTTCGCTGTGTCCCACTCCAAAGGACACTTCCTGTGGCAGAATACATCATCAAGTCCCAGACTCAAAATCCCAAGATCCTTTGCACTAGTCAGTTCACGTTTCCTTGTAGTCAGAAAATCTATTCTCAGAGAAATGGATCAAGTTATACAGACATATTTGGGCTTCTTAAGTGTAAACGCTGACAATGACCCCTTAATGCATCATTAATGGTGGTCCAATCCTCTGCAGTGGGACACAGTTGTCCCGCCTCCTGCTCCATTAGCCCCAGTAGATCAGTGTGGTGATGGAGGACCACACTTCTTTACTTCCTGCTTTATCTGGAATCTTCTTTTTGCCTGTATTATTGGGATGAGAAGCTGCACACTGTTGTTATGATGACACGTGTGGAAGGAGGCTTTTATGTGCTTAAATACTCTACTCTCAACTAAACCATCTTTTATTCTCATTATCTCTTCACTTGGCTCCGCTCTGTACATTCTCACTTCCCATTCCGATTCACTGTTTTTGTTTTTTTTCTTAGCTGCTAACTGAGCTGTGTAAAATAGACTTGTGTTTTAATATGACAAACGTTGTGGATTAAAGTTATCCAATGTTGTAATAACATGCAGCGTGTGTGTTTTTTTTTTTGGGTTGATCATGTAATTAAACACAGGGACATGTGTTACATAGTTTGTGGTTTGCACAGTAGGAGTGTGAAATGAGAGCAGCTAAACTAAACTGGGACTAATGTCCTTACACACCAAACTGACACCAAAGAACACGTCCCGACGGAACGTCGCCTCACGTCTCCTTGGCCTTGGCCATGTTTCGCACTGGAACACACCACAAAGACTTCAGCCGGCGGTCAAGTTGCACGTACGAACTGCGCATGCGTGAGTGGCAATAACTCTCCTTACCAGCAGGCGGCGGTAGTGTGTATTCGTCATTCAAAAGAGGCAACAACCGGAAGACAGACTGCGTGATAACCGAGAGAAGAAGAACAGACTGCGTGATATAAACAAACAACAAATAGCGTGTGCGTTCCATTTTCGAGAAGCTCATGGGGCTTTCCCGAACCTGTGTCGAGAGCTGGAGTTAAATGAAATCTCAGCCTTCTTAATAGTTTGTTTGGGTCCCTCACTTCCGTTTCGCTTGTCATGCACGACTACACGACGCTCATGGACGGCCCGACATCTATCGACGCCGAAAATCGGCTTGGTGTGTAAAGGTCACACCGAGCCGATTTTCGGCGTCGATAGATGACGATAGATGTCGGGCCGTCCATGAGCGTCGTGTCGCCCTACTCAGATTGGTGTGTCTTTTCGGCCGTGCCGACACCTTCCGCCGCCGATTCGACAAAGGCCGTCGGCCAAAGAAATCACTCTGATTGGCTGTTCAGCTAGCGAATCAGTGCATGAGAAGCGAAACGGAAGTGAGGGACCCAAACAAACTATTAAGAAGGCAAATCTGAGATTTCATTGAACTCCAGCTCTCGACACAGGTTCGGGAAAGCCCCATGAGCTTCTCGCTGTAGAGTGAAAATGGAACGCACACGCTATTTGTTGTTTGTTTATATCACGCAGTCTGTTCTTCTTCTCTCTGTGTATCACGCAGTCTGTCTTCCGGTTGTTGCCTCTTTTGAATGACGAATACACACTACCGATGCCTGCTGGTAAGGAGAGTTATTGCCACTCACGCGCAGTTCGTACATGCAACTTGGCCGTCGGCTGAAGTCTTTGCGGTGTGTTCCAGTGCGAAACATGGCCAAGACGCAGGAGACGTTCGGTCGGGACGTGTTCTTTGGTGTTATTTGGTGTCAGTTTGGTGTGTAAGGAGCTTAAGGACCTTAAATGCACTGTGATTCTAGGACTTATTTAAGGAGGACACAATGTGTGTGTGTGTGTGTGTGTAGCTGTCCTCATTCAGCCAAGGTGAGTTGGTCTTTTTCCCACATGTATCATGGTTGCACAGTGTAAATAAAGCACCTTTCCTAGTTTTTTTTGATGTCTCTGAGTTACCTTCCTAGTCACTGGTCAGGCTTTCCCACTTTTGTTTGACCATTTTAAAGTAGTCGTACTGATCATATATATATATATATACAGAATCAATATAGATGTTTTTTATTTTAAAGAAAATTCATATTTTACATCGTAAAAAAACTGTAAATTATAGTGTCCGTCCAAATATTCTTTTTTACTTATAGTGAAAACTACCCTTGAATGATGGGTTAGTAGACTAAAAGCTTTAGGAATCCAAAGTACAACATATAAGGACCCTGTATCAAGATTGATGCAAAACAAGTGACATTTGACCTTTTTAGAGAGATTTAGCAAAAATAAACCACTTCTGGGGTCATTTGGGTGGATTTTCCATATCTCTGGCTTCCCTTGCTCGATTTTGATGGTTGACACCTCTTTCTGACCGTTAGAGCCAATAGAATCGAAGGGGGAGTCCCCCACACACGTTGTGAAGAGAAAAGGTGGGGGCTTCGCCTATGTAATTTTCCATCAGAGTGAACCTATCTCTAGCTTTGACATCTGGGGCCTCATTTATAACGCCTTGCGTAGGATTGACGTAGGAAGGTTGCTTACGTAGTACAAAGCACAAAAATAGGTACATACATTTTCCGCCATTTTCCGATTCACAAAACGTTGCGTACCGGCGAGGGAAGTGCGTACGGCACTCCCTACGCCTGTTTCCCTTGATAAATCACAATCGACTCGTAACGCCCATATTTGCCTATACATAGTCAAAGAAACGCCCATTCATTCATTCATTTTGACTGACTGCATGAAGAAGATCGCAGGAAATTACGATAGAACAGCTAAAAAAGACATCTCACACCGTGTCAGATTTTGGTTATTGTGGGGAGGTCGAGATAAATCATATTGTTTGGTGGATGCAGTTTGAACCAGAGTAGCAGCATGGAGGTCGGATCGTCACCAAAATAAATAAATAAGTGGTCCGAAAAAAGTTAATGACAAAAAAAATACACATAACCTTCCTCAGGCAGTGTGTTTGTACCGGGGACAGGAGACACCCCCTTGATGAGAAACTGTAAGAAATGATCGGGGAATCCCTCCGGAGTGGCATACAAATATAATCACTTCTCTAAAAGGCAACTCATTTTAAATATAGTTAGACATATTAAAAGTAATTTACAATAATAATATTGATATTAGTAATAAGCTTTATATTTGTATAGCATCTATTACAAGAATTGTAGCAAAACTCGCTTCACAGCAGTTCAATAAACAGATTAGTATAACATGACAGGATAAAAGCAATGTAGAGGAGCGGCTACATTTCAACACATATATCCACTAAGATTAATACATGAAGACTTGTGACTCGGACTTGACTTGGACTCTTCTTAGGTGACTCAGACTTGGACTCGGACTCGAACACAGGTAATGATGACTCGGAGTCGGACTCGACTCGGACACTCCTTGGGTGACTCGGACTTGGACTCGGACTCGAACACAGGTAATGATGACTCGGACTCGACTCGGACACTCCTTGGGTGACTCGGACTTGGACTCGGACTCGACTACGACTCTCCCTTGGTGACTCGGTCTTGGACTCGGACTCGAAGAGTGACTTGGACTCGTGAATTGGTGACTTGACTACAACACTGGTTTATGGATTATCAGAAATCATTTCAAAGGGACACAGACACATTAGATTAACCTATGGATTAACTTCAGCAGCGTTTTTATCGTTTTAATGCCATTGAAGACCACTTTGGAGAGACTACAGAGCCAAGGTAAAAATGTTAGCATGTTTAGCTACCTAGCGTCACCTGTTTTGATGTCCGTTTTTGCTTATAACGTCGCAAATACGTATAATTGAGTGGTAATGTCGGTGTCAATCGATTCTGTGTCACCTCACGATGTGAAACGATGTGTTGGATGTGGTGAAAAGATAAATAATAAGGTTTTGTGAGTGATTTTCGGTGCAGAAAGGTGTTAGCATTTTTCGCTCGTTGCTAATTCAGAAGCTCAGTGTTAGCATTGTGGGTTTTCTTTTGAAAAAAAAATAAAAATGGTCAGTTAGTTTCTTCCCGTTACATGGATATAAAACATTCATAGTTTTATTAAATGAACATGCCCTCAGACACTGTTTCCTGCAAGATGTTGCGGCAGTGCCCCGGTACCGGGGTCTCTCGGGCTTAACAGGTTAAATTTATGTTTTTCATTCCAGGGTTTTTTTAATCTTATAGTGTTTTAGTCTGCTGTATTATTGAGGTCCCAAACACGGAATTTAATTCTGAGTTGCAAATTCTTGGCATTGGAAAATAAACCATGGATAAATCCAAGTCACATTTGAAAAAAGATTTTAATTCTGCTAGTATAGATTCCTTTGCTTTTACTGCCAACAATTCTCCAGATGGGTCAGATGTAATCTGATTACCGTGAGTTTACTGGTGGGCAGTGGTGATGAGCTGTTTCTCTGCTTCACCCACAGCCTCCACCTCCTTAAGAGACAGGACTACTGTTGGAGCTCACTTTATATCAGGCTTTTGTATCTTTTCGTTTTCTGAGACAGACAGGCCTGGGATCAGTACATATTTGAGATGTACTGGTGGTGAAAAGAAACTCATAAGTAGCAAAGTCACAAAACAAGGGACAAACTGGGATAACACCGTGAAACACAAGCAGCTAATCCACAGGGAGGAAACAGAGTGGAAACATGGACAGGAATCCAGACAAACAGAACAAAACCATGCAACACATTGACAGGTACATTTAGAACACACTGACACTGGGAAAGACGGATATACTGTATATCCTACAGAGAGCACTACTCGCACTGACAAGAAACAGCTGAAAAGGGTTAAAAGACAGGTGGAAAGAATCAGGGCGGGGCAAACAATCACAAAAAGGTGGGAAAACACAGAGGAAGTGGAACAAGACAAAGTGCAAGGAGAGGGTTCTACTAAATAAAAAAAAAACACAAATACCAACACCAGGATCATGACAACATCCTTGATGAGATGTTTAGATAAACTGCAAAGTAAAACATATGCACTAAGTTAAAAAAATAAAGTTTTGGTAGTCACAGAACATACATGTGGGCCGTGAGGGGACAGAACATGTAACATAAACCCAGTGCTCAGGTTATCATCACTAATCATCATTATCACTATCATCATCAGGTTATCACCCCTGTGGTGTGATTCATGTCTCATGGGGGGGGTGGTAGCTTTAGAGAGCTCTCTCCTGAAAGGCTCTGATAACCTCAGCTCAGTGAGGTAAAGGCACACCTTTATATAATTATTATAGTTATAAAAAAATAAGAGAATAGATAAACAGGTATAAAATACTATATGACAGTAAAAAAAAGTTGTTATTAATAAACAAGAATACAGTTTGAAAGGAGAGTGATTTGTAAAATATCCATAAATAAAAAGTAAATCTGTTTTCAGTTCTGTTTCATATGGGTGTTGAGAGATGTATCCATAGATCTCCTAATGTTGCTCTCAAAGTGCACCAGATTGATGCTTTCAACTTCAATATTAAAAAAAAAATCTTCCCGGGGGAGCATGCCCCCCGGACCCTCCTAGAGGAGGTTAGGTCCACCCCCCACTTAAATCATGTTCAAATGGATAGGATACTAAATAC